ATGGTAGTTAATAGATGTCTATAATTCTATTATACTAGAAGTGCAAGGGAAACCTCATTTAACGTTGAAAGATTCTCATTTTTCCAGAGCTGTAATGCAGCGTGCAGTTAAAATTAGGCTGTCTCGTTAATTGTCAAAGTATATGGTGAGAATTCCTGCAGCCAGCTTCAGTGCAGGATTAGATATGCCTCTGCAGGAGAGACCTTCCAGAAAGGCCCAGGGTGGGAGAGCAGCTCCATCAGGGCGCCTTTGATGCGATCTGTCCTTGAGGAAGAAGGGGTCCTGTGGGTAGAGGAAAGTGTGTGGGGCAAGTCTCGTCCTTTCCCTCTCTGCTCACCTTTGGTGGGAGACCTCAGACCACTGTCTGTGGAACGCTCCTGTGCGAAATGTGTCCTGCATCAGATGGCTGTGGAATAAGCTACCCTTGTGAAGGATGATGAGTATCTATTCCCTCTCCCTGATACTTGCCTCAATTCCTAAGCTTAGCTGTCCTGGGCAGGAGTAAAGAATGAGCAGAATCACCCCAGCCTCTAATCCTCAAGACAGTATGGTTATTCAGGAACTAGGATCCCATAAACTTTCTCATGCCTATGGGTTGTAGTTTATAGAGAGAAAAATCAGTTTAAATGAATATAGCATGGTTGAAATGCTCTTGAATGTACAAAAGAAAGCAGTAAGAAATCCCTGGGAAATACCTTTTCCTCATCTCTTTACCACTTTTGCCTGTCTCCTTCTCAGTGTCAGAAACTTGTCCTTCAAAAATCACCCACTGAGGAAAGCAAATTCTTCTGCAGGATGTGAAGGGAAAACATGAGGAAAGGGTGAGTGAGAGTTTTGCTTTTCCTCTTACAGATCAAAGCGGTATAGCATATGCCAGGATAGCAAGTCAAGCTGTTGAGGACTTTCCATAGGACCCCTACGAGCTTTTATTTAAAAACAGTAAAAATTTTTATTTGGAAGGACTACAAAAGCTTTTCTGAGGGTTCATTAATGAAGTTTAACTGTCCAATTTGTATGTGAGCACTAGCGCAGAATCTCAGCTGAAAGCTCCTCATTCCCAAACACTGAGTAACCCAAGGAATGTGAATTAACACAAACACAACCTTATCCTGCTGGGGAGGAGGAGGAGGAAGGGGGACAAATATGTTAGATACCTGCCTGCCAAACTCCCCAGGAAGTCAGTGGGAGCTTCACTAGTGGAAGAATAGCATGACCAGACATAAAGGAGAGAGGATGACAAGAAAGTATTTTTCACACATTTGTGTACTTAGGACCAATGAAGCCTAGTAAGTGCAGAGGGCAGGAACTGTACTACAATGAAACTCTCAGATATGCTGCTTTAGTGTACTTCCGTAGCTTTCTGTGGGACTCTATTTCCCCCTTTGCAGCCACTTATGAAAAATAAATTTGCAAAGTTGTCTGATGATGCAAAAAAGACAGTTCTAATGAGCTTTAAAGAAACGTCTCGCCAATTTAGGTGCACAATATCCACTGACATGCAGTGATATTCAGCTGCCTGATCAGATGCTTTTGACAATACTCCTGGATGCCTGCCTATCTACATACACACTCAGTATTTCTACAAATCAGATCTTTTCCATCACCTTGTCTGTTACTCTGTTCAGACCTCCAGGAACCCGACTTTGCCTCTGGTACCCAAATGTGGATTCTTTAAGTTTACAAGAAGTATAACACCTTTATCTTACTAAGGTAGGTGTCTAAGGAAATCTGTGATTTGAAACAAGCTACCTTTCCTTATTACAGATATAGAATATGATGCAATTTTTTGGAAGTGTTCAATTTTTTTCGAAATAACTACATTTTTTAAGAAATTAGTGTGTAGAAAACTAGAATTTAATTAAAATCAGCCCTATTGTTTTAACAAGAAACTGTTGACTATGTTGCACCAAAAGACAAAAGATTAGTGACCGAGAGCTTTGTTTTATCAAAGTAAGCTTAGAAATAAACAAAATTTGCAGAGTTAGCTGATTTTGCCTGACATACACAAGTGCACTTCCAGTCTTCCCTGGCTGTCTACAATGAGATGAGATGTAATTTAGTATGAGTCAGGTCCGGGTGAAGCAAAACAGTCAAATGTACTTGTATTTGCAAGCAGTGTCCATCAAAATCCTCCAAGAATGGCTGGATTTGAGTAAATGCTGAGCTTTTCATAGACAGTTCCTAAACATTCACTGAATTAGCTTACCAGACAGAGCACAGAGAAATCTGGCTTTATACAGATATGCAGGTTTTCATTTAGTCTTTATATTCATAGACTGTATTCCTTTTACTTGCCCAAGTGTAACAGTATAATGGTTATGTAAACTAATGCTTACACTAAGATGTTATTTTGACATGCATTTTGGTGCCATATGTAAACACCTAAACGTATATAATAACCATCCTTAGTACAGGTATCAATTCCATTTAAGAAGGGAATTTTTTGTGATTTTTTTTTTTTTTTGTGGTCAAAATGACCATGTGAATTTAGATTTTTGCATAACTGAAATACAGTTTGTAATTGAAAGTAGCGTACACCATTAAAAGTGTGGTAACAGTGGATTTGTTGCCTGACTCTAATAATGATTGCTTTAATATACCATTCACTTGTTAATGCTGCTATCAATTATTTTACTGTAAATTAGCTTTTGTGAGTTTGAGGTCTTTTTGCAATGTCTGTGTTAGGTTACAGGACAATAAATCAAACTCCCATCTCTTTTTACATCCATAACCATAACATATGGCTTTTATTAGAAAATGTTAAGTGTCTTATAATGTCGTCTTAATGGACAGTGTGTGCATGTGTTGATGATGAAAGCCATCTTCTTTCATGCAAAATATTAATGCATATGGCCTACGTCTCCATAGATACAAGTTAAAGAATAATATTTAACTCACAAAATATTCAGTATACACTTTACCCAGAATAAATATTTATCTAGTTTAACAATCCTTTAAGGAAATAACAAGTTAGAGATCAATCAGGAGCTGAAAATTCTAACAGGTATGCACATGTGATTGTGAATAAATGGTATATAATCCACTGCAAAAAAAACCCCCAAACAAATAAACCCAAATCATTTTGTAAAACACCTACTGCTAAATGAAAATACCCTTAGAGAATTAGAAAATGGAATCTATATCCTCCTAGAATTCCAGTTTGTGCATCACAAAGACTCCTAATATTGGTTATAGATTTTTGTCTTTCCACCTAAGATATCATAATGCCTCCGAGCTAGAGGGTGTTTTAGCCTCTGTATCCTTTTCCTTGGGACAACATTATCCCTTTGACTTTTGAACCACTCCACAAAATCTTGGACAAGCACACAGCTTTGACTTGAAATGTGTTTTACCAACAGATTCCTGAGTACCAGAGAAATCTGCTATTCAAATCAACGCCTGCTAACACTAGGCTTGAATAATGGAAATCAAGCATTTTGAAGGATACCCGCCAGCCTTCCCTTTCTGTTTCCATGTTCCTTTGGCAGAAATCGGGGCTTTGAAAGCTGCAATACAACAGCAACATCTTTTCCTCTTATGGTAAATATTTTATTATTGCTTTATCCCCCACTCTGTTTAAAGAAATTAATTTAAAATATGAACTCCTTTGTTCAGGGAAGAAGTCTCCAAAGGATATGCAAACAAGAATCTTTAGAAATGCAGCAAGATGTAACTCCAGGCTCTGCTCCAGATTTCCCCATTCATTCAGTTTGCAGACCTGGTGTCTCCCTGCTGGAGATCTCTGCTCAGACGGAAAGTCTCCAGCAGCTGCTATTCCACCACCCATTCATACATGACCAGCTCCCCTCTCCCTGCATTTCCAGTTCTCTTTCCTCCATCCATCCAATTTTCTCCCTAATCTGATCTCACTTCTTTGATCTTCCTCAGGAACACTGATCATCCTCCCCCACCAAAGCACCACTCATCCCTACCGAGGGCTAGCAACAATTAAGCTGCAACAAAGGTACATTTAAGGGAGGAATAAAACCTATGCAAGCCAATTTCTTTGTGAAGGCACTATCCTTCATCTGTTTTCCTGCTTAATCAATATGGGTATCGTGGGGGTTAATCCTGCTGCTGCTCCTGAAGTAAATGTTTTCATTACTTTTGATTTCAGGTGCAGAATCGGGCCCTAATTAATGTAATTATCTTCATATGTCATAGAATGAAAGGTGTCTACTTAAAGGAGTCGGGCTGTTACAGACCATCTTTATCCACGGCTATGCTGTGAACCGCACCAGTGTGCATTCCCTTTCCAAAACAACCGCAGGCACCACGAGGGGAGGAGTTGTCCTTCAGTACCAAGCAAGAAAGCTGTCAGTGTCCCTTCAACATCAATGAAACCCTCTCCTCTGATTAATACTTTGCATTTCCCACAAGGGAAAACGACAGAGTGAGAAGGTAAGTGGGCAACTGAATTACCCATTCGCAGAGAAGCATGATCATAAATATTTAACTTGGTATGTATAAGAGAAAGGGACAGACTTCCTTTCCAGTCCAAGCTGAGAAACTCTCCAAATCCCCCGGCCCCCAGGGACTGCCTGCTCCTGTGATCATTTCTCCATCTCATAAAGGGATTAGGGATTAGCCATTAGCTCATAAGAGGGCTTGACAAGGTATCTCTCTTTACTGAGGGATGACTGACTGTAAAAATCTGTGCATAGAGGGAAATTACCTGGTATAATGGAGATCTCCCTGGCCCATGAATGGGACCCTGCCCCAAGCTGTGGAGTTTTAGGAGCCTGTTAGAAAATAAGGGTCTCTGGAAGCTCACATATGAGTACGCAAGCTCATGCCTTGGTGTCCACTCATGCCCCATGCATGAGGCCTGCTTGAGAGCGTGGGTTACATCCCTGTAGCCCCTGCATGATTTTTGTATGGCCACACACATGGATGGCTGCTCTGCTCTGACAGTGGAGATAACCCTGATGATGCTGGGAGAAAGTGGGACTGCAGGGAGGTTCGAGTGTTTTGATGAGGGTGCTGATTGCATAGCTTACCCTTGCATATCTGGAGGAGTAGGGATCCTCAAAGAGCGCCCAGATGCGGGGCTGCCACCGTCTCCAGAAGCCCCCAGACCTGCCATCTGGGGAGTCACTAAGTGCTAGGCGTTTTGTCATCTCCAGCTCATCTTCACCATCACCAGAGTCTCCGGTGCCATCTATGTCTCCGTCCTCAGCACTGCTATCCAGGGGCGCCCCACCAAAGCTGTCCAGAGCCTCTTCGGCGTCGCGGTGCTGCCGGTAGGTCATCCAACAGCAGGGCTCCACATCAGTCTCATCGATGCCCCAGAAGGCCAGCTCCTCCTCATACAGGGGCCCGCACACGTCCGCGGGGCAGTGCAGCTTGCCAGTGCGGTAGTAATTCAGGATGTGGGCGAAGACGCCCGGGTGCCGGTCGAAGAAAAACTCATCCGTGCGGGGGTCATAGTCGAAGTGGCTGTGGGCATCGGGCTCAGCGATCCAGGCCAGCCGCGTGCCGGGCAGGGTGCGCAGGGTGCTGCGGTAAGTCTGGTGCCTAGTCCCTCCCACGTTGATCACAATGCGGTCGCTCTCGTCGCCCTGGCCCATCTCGTCTCTTATTAGGCATGTCGCAGACTCATCCAAGCAAGCACGGCAGGCAGCAAG